TAAGCATTGATTAAACATAAGAGTTTCTCAGGGACTTTTTCCTCAAGCTGGTACCTTTAGTTTGATAATGATTGTAGTCTGTTAGAATTTAATTACCCTCTAAATCTATTCATGTTACAATACTTGTGTTCATGTTATGATATTTAAAATATATATATTTCAAAAAGATAACAGACATTGTTCTTAAGGAAGTCTTTCCCAGTTTACCCTATATTTCATGACCACATATGATATGAGGGGAGACCAGTCTAGAACCTTCATTCCAGCCTGATGGAACCATTTCTTCACCACTTTGATGTGTGTTTGGGCTCATTGTCTGGTTGGAACATCCAACTGTGTCCAAGATCAACCTTCTGCTGATGGTTTCAGGTTTTCCTGAACAACGTGGAGGTGATCCTCCTTCTTCATTGTTCCACTGACTTTGTGTAAAGCTCCAGTTCCACTGGCAGCAGAACAGAACCAGAGCATGATGCTGCCACCTCCATGCTTGGTGGTAGGGTTGGTGTTCTTGGGGTTAAAGGCCTCACCTTCTCTCCTCCAGACATGTTTCTGCTCAGTGTTTGTTCCATCTGACCAGAACTTTCCTCCAAGAAGGCCTTTTCTTTGTCCATGTGACCAGCAGCAGACTTCAGTGGAGCTTTAAGGTTCTGCTTCCATCCTGACTAATCGTCTCTCAGCAGCAGGTGATAGTTTGTGTTTTCTTCCTGATGGTGGCATTTAAATTGGCTCAGAGGAGTCAGCAGCTGTAGTCAACGTGATCATTCACAAGAAGTTAAGAGGTGACACCACGAAGAAAACTGGATTAACAATCCTGCCTACATCACAAAAAATGATCATTTAAGTTGCTATTGAAGGCCTTGAGATGACTGATCAGAATTGTTCCTTTATAAATGAAACTGAATTCAGTTTGGTTTCATGTCAAACTGAAGTCATCAGCGTGACTCTGTGTGTCCAGTTTATGAGGAACGGTAGTCAGACGGTGTGGACAAAATACCAGAAACACCTCATGTTTAGGAAAAGAAGGAGTTGTGTTTATTCAGACAGAGGAAGGATGGAGTGAGCACGCCTACTGCTGATTGGTCACCTGCCTGGCGGCTGAGCAGGTACGCTTCTTCAGGTGTTAAAGCTCGTTCAGGTGGACGACAGTGATGGTGATGTCATCACGGTACCTGCGGGCCAGGTCTGCTGGAAGACTCAACATCTTGGCCAGGCGGTTTGGGGCCACAGCTCTGTAGCCGTCGTCGCCCAGCGCATGGCGGAGCAGGTGGGTGGCGGCGTTCTGGTCCTCCAGCACCGACAGGACACGGCCTCTCCGCTCCCACAGGAGGCGCTGCAGGCCACCCAGCGTCATGCCCATGCCAGGAACTATGGGTCTCTGCTGCTGAAGGCCTGTGGAAGACGAACACCAACACTGTTTACAGTCACACCAACAGCTGGACTCCTACAAACTAACCCTAACCCTCACTTCACAGCTCAGCGGCTTGAGCTCCAACAATCAACCATCTGTAAAGTCACATCTTCTCCTCTGGATTCTAAATCAGAACCAACTGGACTGCTCAGGCCACAGAGCATGAAGCATGACACGTCAACTTTTCTTCACTTACTAACCTCACTCATTGTTTGCCAAAGCCAAGAGCAGGCAGACTCATCTTTTGCTGTGCAGGACAGCAGTTATTTTTGAACCACGCAAACTGTTCACCGCCTTCACGGCCCCAAATATAAAGGGCTGTGTGAAAACTTATGACGAGGACGACTCCTTTTACACCCAGTTCCTTGTGTGAAAGCTAGCAAAAAATGTTCAACATTTACACCATGATCAACTGAAAAATATTTTAAATTTGGAACAATTACAGGAATGATCGCAAGCCAATCAGCAGTCACTAACGGACTGGATTTGGCCTGTGGCCTGTGAGATGAGTATGGCTGATTTACAGGATCGGCCGCTAATCATCGCTATCAGTCTTTCTGTTTTCACCGTAGGATCCAACAGCTGCAGTGTCAACTCAGAGAAACCAGAGAACACAGTCAAAGGTTCCATAAAACAACCTGCACGTTCCTGCAGTGTAAAACAGCTTCATGATGACTTTCTTTTGGAGAGCTGTGGTGTCCCTCAGGGTCTCATCTTTGGTCCTCTACTTTTCTCCATCGACATGCTCTCAAACTTGATTCAGAAAAGTGCAACAAGAAACTCCAGTGTTTAAATCCAAGCAGGGGCTTCACAGTCTTGTGTGTTCTGATCATAAAGTCTTTAAAACAATTTCAACAGGATGCTTACCATACTTATGTACCTCACCTGCAATTCTGCACAATAAATGCCATTAACACCACTTTGCACTACTTATTTATGTCTTATATTTCTGTAAATATCTGTCCACACTACTAATTGTCATATTGTCTGTGCACATATCACTGTTATTTGTATATAAGGAGTGAAGTCATGTGCAGTTTCATTATATGTTGTATAATGACAATAAAACTGATTCTGAGAAAAGAACAGATGGGACCTGATCACCCAGCATTCATACAGGTGGTCTGAAGTCTCAGCAGTAGACCTAATTGGTCCATGAACTAAAACACAGTCCAGGTTCTTCCTGCATCCATCCAACCAAATAAAGGCCAAAATGTAACTTTCAGATCATAGTCATTTTGGGTTTAACCTCAGGAATAAAACCACAAACCCACCTGCCAGCTGCTCCCCAACCAGCTGAACCACCGTCTGTCGGTGCATCAGCTCCCACAGTCCGTCCGTCGCCAGCACCAGGAACTTGTCTGCAGGTGTGATTTGGTGCCTCGTAACCTCCGGCTGGGCGCTCAGGTAGGGCGGGGTCAGGTAGTGCGGCGGCAGCGTCCGGACTGCCTCGTTGACCGCAGACATGAGATCTGGTCGAGTCTCGTAGACTCGACTCAGCATCTCTGCGCTCCATTTGAAGCGCACGTCACCGAACGCCCTGAAGGGCAGCAGCAGACCCAGCAGGCGGTCGTGGCGGACCACCGTCCTCCGCTCCGACGGCGGGTGTTCCTCCAGAACCCTCTGGAGCTCGTCGGGGTTCTGTGCATTGTGGTCGTTGGTTAGGCTGATCGCTGACCAGCGGCCGTCCGGCTCCTGGACGCCCAGGACGGCCCGGCTGTCACCCAGGTTGGCTACGTGTAGGATGCCGTTGGAAACATGGACAACGCAGGCCGTGCTACCAGACAGCGCCACCCGGAGGGGGGAGGACAGAGGCAGGCCTTCCCCAGGAACAGACACCCGTCTGGACAGAGAGAGGATTTGCCTGATGACTGAAGTTCACACATCCAGAGGATTGTGTTTGTTTAGGACTTAAAACTCTACTAAAAACTGTTGGTCTTTATTGCCTGGCCCTCAGCTGGACATCTCTCTGAACGCAACACTTTCATTTTTCCTGTTTCGGCTCTAAACTGATGTTCAGCTGACTGCCTCTGAACCTCCAGGATCCAACACTCTGCTACAGTGACCACACGAAACCACAGGATCGTCACCTGGGCGATGACATGGACAGGTGGACCTGAGCCTCCACAGACAGGTCGTAGTCAAGGCGACGGAAAGCGTTGACCAGCGCTGATGTCACTCTGCTGTTGTCCTGCAGCCAATCAGAGAACAGGAGGATAATGATGTCAAAGAAGGAAAAGCTCACAGAGAACCAGAACTTAGTCAGCCCACCTCATACCAACCAGACTGCTCAGGCTTCAGTTCAGCACCAGGACCTGACTCAGAACCTGATCCAGAACCTTATCCTGGACCTGAACCAGGACCTGATCAAGAACCTGATCTGGGAGCTGACTCAGGCCATGTCCCAGAACCAGATCCAGGATGTGATCCTGGACCTGATCCAGAACCTGGTCTAGGACTCGACCCAGGACATGTCCCAGAACCTGGTCTAGGACCTGACTCAGGACATGTCCCAGAACCTGACCCAGGAGCTGAGTCAGGACCTCCAAACTACACTCTGATCAGTTCTGGATTTTTAATTCTGTCAAGCTGGTTTTTGTAGGTATTTTCCTCACTTCTGGACCAGGGCAGAGCTTGATTCTAGACTTAAGGCTGTGGCGTTTCTGGACCCTAGTTACCTCCTCATCTTCGTCCTCGTCTTCGACCTCCAGTCTCTCCTGCCAGTAGTTTCTCAGACTGTGGAAGGAGCTCGCACCTCCGTCAGTCCAGCTGTGGTCTTGAGGGTGTTTGTGCCACTCGAGCAATGGCGGTACCGCCCGCTCCTCCTCCACAGCCCGGTCCAGCTCTGCCAGCGTCCTCAGCGGTAGCGTCGCCACCACGATGTAGTAGAAGAGCCTCTGGCTGACAGTGTGGGCGCAGGCTGGCCCGGCGTGACCGTCGAACACTCCGAACAGGATGCCGCCGCGGCCCGGCAGGCAGGTGGCGCTGCTCCGACGATCCTCTCCTGGGTGGTTGGATGGCAGTGTGTTGCTATGGAAACCCAGGACACCATGGGAGGCGGGGCCTCTGGGAAGGGTGTGGCTGTATTCGTTGGCCTGACAACAGGTGATCAGTGTGATTGATGTGGTTGATTCAGCAACACTTTGAACATCAGCTGTTTCTCACCTTTAAGATCCGGTCGGTCTGAGCTGAACTCATTTGCCCCGCCCCCTGCCCCGCCTCCTGCCCCGCCCTGTACCTCCTGCTGCCTGAAGGGAAATGGAGTCCAGGCAGCTGAGGCAGAGGGGGAGGGGGAGGGGAGGACAGGGAGCGGCACTGCTGGAGTTCAAACCTGCAGCGTCCACCAAAGCTTCCTGTTCTTCCCAACATGGCAGCACACCAGAACCAGCAGGAGAACTAGGAACAGGAAGACTGGACCTGAAGGAGAACCAGAACAGCCTGTAGCAGTGAGAACAGAACAGACTTTGGAGGATCACAGAACACGAGCAGCTGGAACTACAGCAATCAGAGGTAACGGTGGCCTGAAATCACAGCGTCTGCCAGATGCTCAGGAGCCTCACTCCTCTGAGCAGCAGAACCGCGAGAACAGAACCAATCAAACGATGGGAAGCAGCAACAGAAACAGTGAGTGTGAATGGTCTGCCACATACGTTTCCACCTGAAACAATCTCAAGTGCTGAATACAGCAAACTTCACCTCTCACCTGTTCTGTTCACACCTGTGCCTCCTCCAGTGCTTCCAGGTTTGGTCCTCAGCTGGAGACGTTCTTCTGTCTGTTTCAGGTGACTCTGGAACTCACCTGGTGCGTCTGAACGTGTCGCAGGTTGTTTGTTCAGCGTCTCGGTGACCTTTGGCAGCTGCTCACTAATCAGTCAGCTATAAACTGCTGGAGCCGCTTTTTTCTTTCCTCCTTCGTGTCCAAGACAGTTTGTGGAAGCTTCACCTGTTTTTATCTCCAGACCAGCAGGTGAAGCCGAGCAGCAGCTGTTCTCTCATCAGTACCGAGTAGATGCAGGTTCTGTGTTCTGCTTCAAATCAGCAGCTGAAATGAGATAGAAAAGATGCTAAACGACCAACATGTGCTGAGTTGAGCAGCTTTGTGTGCCGCTGATGACTCAGGTGATGCCCGTCTGAGAGCAGAACACCTGCAGCTCACCGTAACCAAGAACCAGATCTTCTAGAACCAGGTTCTGCACCGGTTACTGTTCTGTCGTCTCACAGATGTTTCGCATAGTTTTGGTCGTTTAATGTCACATATTGATGGTTTTGTTTCATGTCATTGCCAGTTTGTGACCATTGTTCCTCCGTTTGCATCCGGTTTGAGTCTCATGTCGGTTTCTCTGCATCTCTGGAGAACATTAGAGCTTCATCGGCCCGTTCATCAGTCTGGTCGCCGCTCTGTGGACAACAGAAGCTCTTAAAGCTTTTTACTGGTTTCATCATCTGCTTCCACGTGTTTGGATTCAGTTGTAGAGAAAGACTTTATTTCATTAAAACACAATCATCACAAGACAGAACAGTTCTCACACCTGCCCAGGTGAGTTTCCTCATTCCACTCAGTGAAGGATGTTTTTAATGTGAGCTGTGTGGAACCAGTACAACCAGTACAACCAGTGTTTATATATCTGTTATTAAGATTATCTTCTAAAACATTAGAGCACTTCATTACTTTTTCAAACATCACTGGTTTGGTTTGATCGTAATCAGCCAAAGTTTTGCATCTTCTTCAATCTTCAGTTTGTGAATCTGACGGTCCCTGAACGCAGCACGATGAGTGCGTTTCAGTGCGTGTGTATGCTTAATCGTGTGTGTGTGTGTGTGTGTGTGTGTGTGTGTGTGTGTGTGTGTGTG